AGTGCTTGATATCCGTAGCCGCCAATGGCGCTGCAGGTAGGGCGCTGCGCACGCCCCCTACCCGGAAATGCAAATCGCATATATATACATGCTTTTGGACAGCCCTGAAGCAGTAGTTCTACTATATTATATATTCAATACCGGGCACTTTCACCCCCTTCCTGCACAGGCCAATTTTCAGCTTTTAGCGCTCTCACTTTGAATGATGATTGTGCAATCATACAAAACTGTACGCATACACACTTGACCTCTGGAAGGTTTTACCCCTTTCCTGACCAGAGCATTTTTTTTGCTATTCAATACTGTGCTACTTTAACTGGCGGTCATAAAACACTGTACCCTCAGGAAATTTTTAATTTTTTTTCACACACATAGAGCTTTGTTTTGGTGGTATTAAACTGGTTTTAAAGGCTCAAGTTTTTTTTACCTTCATGCATTCTAAGAATGAAGGTAAAAAACCTTCTGTGTGCAGTATCCCCCTCAGCCCCCCCTAATACTTACTCAAGCCCCCTCTTAATCTAGCGGTGTGCACTGGAGTTTCAGCTAGCCCGGGACTCCCTCTCCTCATTGGGTGAGACAGAAGCGGGAGCTATTGGCTCCCACTCCTGTCAGTCACAGCCACTGAGAAGAGAGAGGGGAGGCCCCATGTTTAAATGAACACACAGAGCAGCGAGTGCCCCATAACAAGCTGCTTGCTGTGGGGGCACCTGACGGAAGGGAGTGGCCAGGAGTGCCAGCGGGGGACCTGAGAAGAGGAGGATCCAGGCTGCTCTCTCAAAACCACTGCACACAGCAGGTGAGTATAGACAGGCTTTTTTTGCTCTAAATATAAGCCTTTAGAATCACTTTAATTACCACTGGGTTTTTAATTTTTTTCAAAATAAACAAAAAAAAAAGAACATTTTGAAAGAAAAAAAAATGTTCTTTTCTTAGTTTCTGTTATAACATTTTGGAATGAAAAAATTGTTCTTCATAAATTTAGGCCAAAATGTGTTCTACATTTCTTTTGTAAAAATAATCCATAGTCCACAAACTATGGGATATATATCTGAAAATCGATCAATCCTGATGTACTGACGACCTCTTATTTCTTTCTAAAATGCCAGGATAGTATAGATATCCCCTAAATGACCCACCTTTTGGCAAGTAGACAATCTGAGGTATTTAGTAAGAGGTATGGCGAGTGTTTTGAAGTTGTAAGTTTGTGTCATAATGTTTTGGAAAATGAAGAAATAAAAAAAAAAAATTTTTTTTTTTCTTACATATACTTTCACTAGTGCAGTACATGATCGTCGTCTAACTGGTGTGGCGTTGATCTGGGACACTAGTGACAGTACGAAATTTTTTTTTCCAATTTTTTGTTTTCTATTACATTTTTTTTCTTTATGATTTTTTTTGTTAACACACTGTAGCCAGAGCAATATAATGTTACCATGGTAACATTCTACTACTCTGGGAAAGTAATCAGGAGGTTTTTTTTTACACATTATGATTGCTTACAGCAGTGAATTTCACTGCTATAAGAAAGCTTTTATACTGAGTGAAATAGATTCATTTAATGTGTTTTCTTGTGATTAGCAGTGATTGGCCAAAGCTAATCACATGGTACAGATGGGCTGTGACTTGCCCTTTCTGTACCATGTTGTCACTGAGACCAATCACAGCTAGCAACACAATTGTACTCAATGAATAGCATGAATCAAATCCATTCATTGTGTACACTTGTGTCCTGCAGTGATTGATCACAGCAATCACACGGTATCGGCAGTGGGCCGGTGGACACAGCGGGTGACAGATCGCGCCCACACAGCCATGTCATATGACATCCACTCGGAACGACAGAAGTCCTTCCTCATGACACAACATCAGGAGTACCTAGGCCTTATCCTGAAAAGAGCAAGGGTTCTTTTACTGCCTAACGCTTCTAAATGCTGCAGATCAAGTGTATCTGGGTGCAATACAGGTCCTGGGGCTGGTGTCATCTTTTTGAGACAGTCACCTTTGATAAGATACACACTAGGACTTTGCAGAGGGACATACTGATTTATTTATTTATTTCAGGTACTTATATAACGCTGTCAATTTACGCAGCACTTTACACATATATATTGTACATTCACATTAGTCCCTAACCCTCAAGGGGTGTACAATCCAAGGTCCCTAACTCACATTCACACATACACATATTAGGGCCAATTTAGACAGGATCCAATTAACCTACCAGCATGTCTTTGGAGTGTGGGAGGAAACCGGAGCACCCGAAAGAAACCCACGCAAGCACAGGGAGAACATGCAAACTCCATGCAGGAGACACCATGGTCAGGAATCAAACCCATGGCCCATTTATTGCAAGGCAAACGCGCTAACCACTAAGCCACCGTGCCGTCCTGTTTAGATGAGAGAGAGGTCTATCCTGTAGACATGTGCACACCGTAAATTTTCGTGTAGTTTTGGGTGCATTCTTTAATTGAAGAATTTCCTTTCATCACATTCATTATGTTGAACCAATTCATTTTCAGAATTTGTTTTGCATCTTTGGCATTCGTTTTGTAAATTCATTGACGGATTTGAAAAACGTTGCCGTTTTTCCAGAAGACTGCTATATCTTCAATATAGTATTGAATTGGACAGATTCGAATTGATTTGAAGGATTTGATCTTTTCGGACACTAGTTCAAAGCACCAAGAGAAATGGCATGAGCTGATTAATCACTTCAATACCAGACACTTTCACCCCCTCCTGCCCATGACAATTTTCAGCTTTCAGTACTGTTGCACTTTGGCAATTGCATGGTCATGCAACACTGTTCTCATATGAAATTTAATCACCACTGTTTTTTTCTTTTTTTGCCTTTACCTCGGTCTGTGATCAGCTGTGTCTAAAGGACACAGCAGTAATAGGATGCGTCCCAGGGGGAGAGCGGGTGACTTTTTCTGGGAGGAAGTTCATGGATGCCCTCCCAGAACAAGATAGAGGCGCTGTAGCCATCTTTCAGCTATGGAGCAATATTTAGATGGCTAAATGTCAACGACTGTCGTTATGTGCACCCAAATTAATGAATGGAACAAAATTCGGATCTGTTCGTTATACTAATCCAAATTATCAAACAAGATCTAAAATTTTATTTATTTTTCCTTGGAGCTAATGTTCTATTGCATCATGTGATAAACAAATGCATTTGTTATTTTGATATAACTTTTTTTTTTTGATTGGTTGATATTCGTTGCTATATCCATTCGGAGATTTGTGTACATTCCAATCTCCAAAAATGAAATTTTTGCCCGAAAAGCAAGTTGTAACGAAGTGCACATTTCTACTCTCCCGTACCTTCTTCTATTGCTGATGGTATTGCAGGGCAGATTCATATTGAGGTCCTCACCACAGATACAAGGTTCTATGTCACCTGTCTTTACAGGGACATTGCAATTAAGGGAAATCTAAACTATTGAGCAACCTATTAAAAATTTGTGTGATACACCTGTCTTTCCTACCATGGACCTAGTAACTGAAGCAACCCAATGAGGATCCAGTCTAGTTAGAACAATGGCTTACATAAAGAGCACAAGAAACCTGGTCAGAAGTGGAGAACACATCTTTTGCAGAGTGAAATGCCAAGTCCCGACTATCTCATTGGACATGTGGACTTGCTTCTACAATGCAAGAGGTGTTGCATCAAATTTGCCAGTGGTGGGGCACCCTGGATGTAGATCTGATGGTATAACTTAATGATTGCAGGGTTCACAGGTTTGTAGGAAGGGCAAGAGATCCTCTTTTAAGTTAGCAATTTTCCCATCCTTAAGAGATTTCTCTGCACATGCTAGACATAGTTAGAGCCGTCAATGTTTGCCTGAATACAGAAGACCGTACCTTTGTTTATCTTTCTGAAAGTTCCTTGCAAAGGATTCCCAACATCCAGTGCAACCATCTGAAGATGGATTTGCCTGACTATTAACAGTTATATTCCCTGTGTGGTGGGCAGATCTCTTTCCTCTCACGGCCCTGTCTAGTAGTGGAGTGAGCGCAATCTGGGCCTTTCTTCACCAGGCGTCTCTTTTCCAGCTATGTACAGCGGCTATGTGGCCATCGATTCACAGTTTAACGCGTTTCACAACATGAATGTTACAGTAGCAGTAGATTCCAGCTCTGGAAGTAATGGTGAACATTTCTATCACACAAACATACTGTGTATGAATGTCTCACATATGGGTAGCATGAGTATTTTGGGGTTGCTGGTGACACTAACAGCCAAAAGTAACTAACTTTTAAACCTCCTGTCCTACACTGCTATGCCGTGAGTATAAAACAGTTCACAGCCATCAAAGACACCTTTTAATAAACCTAGCTAAAGAAATGTCCAGTACTCCTTAAAGTGTTACTAAACCCACAACAGTAAAATCAGTCTGTATATGCAGTAAAGCATGCTTGTTATACTCACTGTGGAACCTAAGGAGTTCATCCTCTGCATTGTGTAAAAACACTGTTTAATACTGACTTCTCTGATCCTCCCCTTCTTCTACTGTCCCCCGACAAGATATATTGTGTGGAGTCACTCTGCACATGCTCTGTTTGGTGTGTATTGCTAGAGAGGGTTTGTTTTTTGTGGGGAGAGTGCATGTGGGTCAATCAGCACTTTCCAGACAGAGGTCAGGGGTCCTGCATCCTCCTAGAGCAGAATGAAAAATCGTTCTACAAGCTTTAGCATGTGCTCAGGTGGAAACTGATAGAAGTCACAAGACTGCTCTAACTGCTGATGAGAAAAGGTATTTAGCAGTTTATATTTACTAAAATAATTGTACTTCCATGTTCTGTGTACCATGGGAGACCAGATATAGTGAATGCAGGGTCCTGGGTTTAGTAACACTTAGTAAAAACTTAGCTTGAAAATAGAGAGATGATTACCTCAGCCAAGGGACACAGCGGATCACGGAAAGAGACGAAGATGTCGGCTCGGTCATGTGATCAGCTGTGTCCAATCACAGCTGATCACATGTAAACACGGAAATGCCGGTTATCGGCATTTCTCTCCTCTCGAGCTGCCACGCTGACAGCTCGAGAGGAGAGCCGGTAATCGGCTTTCTGCGGAGGGGACATGTACACTGATCATCAGGGCACTGATGATCAGTGTGCCCTGATGATCAGTGTGGCCCCAGAAGTGCCACCTGTCAGTGCTCATCAGTGCCAGTGCCTATCAGTGCCACATCAATGCCACATATCAGTGCATACCAGTGCACATCAATGCCACATATCAGTGCCCATCTGAGCTGCCTTTCAATGTCACCCATCAGTGCCACCTATCAATGCCAATCAGTGCCACCTATCAGTGCTGCCAATCAGTGCCACTCAGTGCTGCCTAACAGTGCCACTCAGTGCTGCCTAACAGTGCCAGTCAGTGCCACCTATCAGTGTTAGTCAGTGCTGCCTATCAGCGCCGCCTATCAGAGCCATATATCAGTGTCATGTATCAGTGCTGCCTTTCAGTGCCCATCAGTGATGCCTGTCAATGCCCATCAGTGCAACCTATCAGTGCCTCCTCATCAGTGCCGATCAGTGCCACCTATCAGTGCCCATCACTGCAGCCTCATTAGCGCACATCAGTGAAGGAGAAAAATCACTTATTTACAAAATTGTATAACAAAAACTAACAAAAACGTTTTTTTTCTCAAAATTGTGGTTTTTGGTTTGTTTAAGAAAAAAAAAAAAAAATCCCAGAGGTGATTAAATACCACCAAAAGAAAGCTCTATCTGTCTAAAAAAAAATGATAAAAATTTCATATGGGTACAATGTTGCATGACCGCGCAATTGTCATTCAAAGTGTGACAGCGCTGAAAGCTGGAAATTGGCCTGGGCAGGAAGGGGGTATAAGTGCCCTGCAGGCTAGTGGTTAAAATGGCAACCAAAACCTGAAAGACGTGGAAGAAAGCGAAAAACTACCATTCGAATGGATAGAAGAATAGCCAAAATGGCAAGGACTCAACAATCAGCTCCAGGAAGATCAAAGAAGGTCTAGAGTTACCTGTGAGTACTGTTACAATTAGAAGACACCTATGTGAAGCCAAGCTATCTGCAAGAAGCCCCCGCAAAGTCCCACTGTTGAAGAAAAGACGTGCTGAAGAGGTTACAATTTGCCAAAGAGCACATTGACTGGCCTAAATAGAAATGGTGCAACATTTTGTGGACTGATGAAAGTAAGATTGTTCTTTTTGGGTCTAGTGGCCGGAGATAGTTTGTCCTTAAAGAATTGAGCTCTGTCATTTCAAAGCCATGGTTTCTAATTTTTAGGGACTCTTTAATGACTGGCATAGTACCATTGGATTGGCGTAAAACCATCTATAGTTGGGAAGATACTGGAGAGTTTAATAAAAGACCACATAGATGAGTTCTTGCTTGAAAAAAAGATTTTAAGCAACAGACAGCATGGATTCATGAAAGACAGAAGTTGTCAAACAAATCTGATTTCTTTTTATGAGGAGGTGAGAAAAACCTTGAACAGAGGGGTGGTGGTGGACGTGGTATACTTGGATTTTGCAAAAGCATTTGACACTGTTCTCCACACACGGCTAATGTGTAAGGTAAAGTCTACAGGATGGAAAAATCTGTATGTAAATGGATAGAAAACTGGCTAAAAGACAAAATTCAGAGAGTAGTGGTTAATGATTCACACTCTGAATGGTCTCTGGTTGTCAGTGGTGTCCCCCAAGGTTCAGTGTTGGGACCCTTACTTTTTAACATTTATAAACGATATAGGGTCTGGGATTATAAATACTATTTCAGTCTTTGCAGACGACACCAAGCTGTGCAGTGGAATAACGTCCTTACAGGATGTCTCCAATTTACAAGCCGACCTCAATGCACTGTTTAATTGGGCAAATATGTAGCATATGAGGTTTAATATTGATAAATGTAAGGTTATGCACTTGGGAGCTAAGAATATGCATGCATCATACATACTAGGGGGGAGTAAAACTGGGGAAATCAATGGTGGACAAGGATCTGGGAGTTCTGGTAGATCGTAAGCTTAATAATGGCATGCAATGCCAACCTGCAATTTCTAAAGGGAGCAAAATCCTCTCTTGTATTAAAAGAGGTATAGACTCCAGAGAGAGATCATATTACCCCGGTACAAATCATTAGAAACCTCATCTGGAATATGCAGTTCAGTTTTTGGCACCAATTCACAAAAAGAACATTGGGGAAGTGGAGAAAGTGCAGAGAAGGGCAACCAAACTGATAAGAGGCATGGAGGAGCTCAGCTATGAGGAAAGATTAGAGGAACCGAATGTATTCTCTCTTGAGAAGAGGAGATTAAGGGGGGATATGATCAACATGTATAAATACATCAGTGGTTCATATAGTGAACTCGGTGTAGAACTATTCACCCTGAGGTCACCACAGAGGACAAGGGGACACTCTTTAGGTCTGGAAGAAAAGAGATTTAATATCTAAATATGTAAAAGGTTTCTTCACAGTAAGAGCTGTGAAAATGTGGAATAGACTCCCTCAAGAGTTGGTTCTGGCCAGCTCAGTGGATTGCTTTAAGAAAGGCCTGGATTCTTTCATAGATACACAGAATATAACTGGATACTAACATTTATAGGTAAAGTTGATCCAGGGAATGTCCAATTGCCTCTCGGGGGATCAGGAAGGAATTTTTTCTCCTGCAAGAGCAAATTGCATCATGCTTTGCTGGGTTTTTTTTTTGCCTTCCTCTGGATCAACTGTGGGCAGGGGTGGACTGACAACTCATGGGGCCCCCGGGCAGTAAGATATAATGGGGCCCTCTGTGCTCCCGCTTGCACTCAAGCCACAACCACACAACAGCCAACCTACATATTGCAGCTCAGCTGCATAGAAGCGGCATTTAAATATTTACCGCAGCAAAGACTGCATGAATGTTCCTGGCTTCTTTCCGTAGAAGCCACTGGGCACTTCCAGGTTTAAAAATGGCTGCCATGTAGGGGAAGTGAAAGAGAGAGGGGAGTGAGAGGGTGAAAAAGAGGAGGGATGTGAGAAAGAGAGGAGGCGTGAGAGAGAGAGGAAGGGATGAGAGAGGAGGCGTGAGAGAGAGAGGAAGGGATGAGAGAGGAGGGGTGTGTTTTAAATTGTGCTAAACATTGGGCATGGCTTAAAAGGGGTGTGGTTAAATAGTGTCTGATATTACTTATATAGTGCAGAATGGGGTAATGTTAAATAGGGAATGTACAGTGTGGTGTGTATGACAGGGGGTAGTATGTACAGGGAGAGGAGTGTGGAGTGTATGGCTGTGGGTAGTATGTGTAGGATGGTGTCAGTAGTTCTTCCTTTTTAATTAGTATTTTTTTTTACAAATTGTTTTACTATTTTTATCATTTTTTTTTCAAAATGCTTTTGGGTGGCCAGTGGATGGGTGTCAGTAGAGCAATGGTGTGGGTGTCAGAATTTATTAATTTTTATTATCTAATTTATTTATTTTTTACAATTCATTTCTGTATTATTTTTTCACAATGATTTTGTGGGGGCAGTGGACAGTGTCAGTAGGGAGTGAACAGGGAGCACTAGTATATGTTGGGCTGTCACTAGATTGGGGATGAATAAACAGAACCTGTACCCCCTTATATCGGAAGGAAGGGGAATGGATGGAGAGAAGGAAGGAAGGAAGAAAGAAAGGGATGGAGGGAATGGGGGAGGAAGGAAGGGGAGGGAGGAAAGGAGGGATGGGAGGAAAGAATGAAGGAAGGGGATGGAGGGAGGAAGGGAAGGAAGAAAAGGGAGGGAATGGATGGAGGAAGGAATGAAAGAAAGAAAGAAGATGGAGGAAGGAATGGGATGGAAGGGAGGAAGGGAAGGAATAAAAAGGGAGAGAGGGAATGGATGAAGAAAGAGGAGGGAAGGAGGAGGGGGGGAAGGAAAAAATGAAGGGAAAGCAGAAGAGGGGGGGAGGGGGATGAAGGGAAGGAAAGAAAATGGGTGGAGGGAAGGATGAAGGAAAAGGAGCGAAGGGGGGAAGATAGGGAGGGGGGGGGATGGAGGGGGGGAAGGGGGAAAGGGAATAGATGGAGGGGTGGAAGAAAGGGGGGGAGGGAGGAAGGAAGGAAAAAGGAGGGGAATGGATGGAGGAATGAAGGGAGGGGATGGAGGAAGGAAGGGAAAGAAGAAAAGGGAGGGAAGGAATAGATGGAGGGGGGAAGAGAGGGGAGGAAGGGGGGGGGGGGAGGAAAGAATAAAGGGGGGGGATTTGCGAGGAAGGAGGGAAAGCAGAAGAGGGAGGGAATGGATGGAGGAAGGAAGGGGGAGAAAATGAAGGGAGGAAGTTAGGAAGGGAGGGGGAGGTAAAGGATGGAGGAAGGAAGGAAGGAAGGGGGAAAAGAATGAAGGAGGGGATGGAGGAAGGAAGGGAAGGAAGAAATGGGAGGGAATGGATAAGGAAGGAAAGGGAGGGGGGGGATGGATGGAGGAAGGAAGGAAGGAATGAAGGAAGGGGAGGGGAGAAAGGAAGGAGAGGGAGGGAATAGATGGAGGGAGGAAGAAGGAGGGAGGAAGGAAGGAGGGGGGGGAGGAAAGAATGAAGATAGGGGATGGAGGAAGGAAGGGAATGGATGGAGGAAGGAAAGAAAGAAAATGGATGGAGGAAGGGGGGGAATGAAAAAAAAGGAGGGAAGGGAGGAGGGAATGGATGAAGGGGTAAAGGGGGGGAAAGAATGAAGGGAGGGAATGGAGGAAGGAAGGGAAAGCAGAAGAGGGAGGGGAATGGATGGGGGAAGGAAGGGGGGAAAGGGAGGAAGTTAGGGAGGGAGGAGGTAAAGGGGGGAGGAAGGGAAGGAAGGGGGAAGTGAAAGAATGAAGGAAGGGGATGGGTGGAGGGGGAAAGAAAAAAAAAACTGAGGGAGGGAATGGAATGGAAGGGAGGGGAAGAAGGAAGGAAGGAAAGGGAGGAGAGAAAAATGGGGATGGGGGAAGAAAGGGGGGAAGGTGAAAGAATGAAGGATGGGGGGATGGGGAAGGGAAGGGGATGGAAGGAAGAAATGGGGGGGGGGAATGGATAAGGGAAGGAAGAAAAGGGAGGGAGGGAGGGAATGGATGGAGGAATGAAGGGGAAAGGGGGGGGAGGGGAGAAAGGAAGGGAAGGGAAAGGAGGAGGGAGGAAGGGGAGAGGGGAGGAAGGAAGGAAGGAGGGGGTGGGAGGAATGAATGGAAATAGGGGAGAAGGAAGGAAGGGGATGAAGAAAGGGAGGGGATGAAGGAAGGAGTAGAAGGGGGGGAGGGAAATGGATGGAGGAAGGAAGGGGTGGGGGAAAAGGAGGGGAGGGGGGGGTTAGGAAGGGAGGAAGGGGGGAATGGAAAAGGGGGGAGGGGATGGAGGAAGGGGGAGGGGAGGGGATTCCGGGGAGGGAGGAAGGGTTGGAATAAAAGGGAGGGAGGGAATGGATAGAGGAATGGAAGGAAGGGGTGGGGAAGAAGGAAGGGAAGGAGGGAAAGGGGGGAATAGGGGAGGGAGGAAAAAAGGGGGGGGAAGGGGCAATAGATGGAGGAAGGAAAGAAGGAAGGGGGAGGAAAGAATGAAGGGGGGATGATGAAGGAAGAAAAGGGGAGGGGGGGAATGTATGGAGGGGGAAGGAAGGAATGAAGGAAGGAAGGAAGGGGGGAAGAAAATGGATGGATGACGGAATGAAGGTAAAGGAGAGAAGGAAGGGAGGGAAGGGAAGGGAGGAATAAAAGGGAGGAATAGGGGGGAGGGAGGAAGGGGGGGGCGGGAGGAGAAGGAATGGGGAAAGGGGGGGGGGAGGGGGAAAGGTTGGCAAAGGAGGGGAGGAGAAGGAAGGAATTGAAAGGAGGGGTAGGGAGTAAAGAATGAAGGGTGGGGGAAGAGGGAGGAAGGAAGGGGGGATGAAGGAAGGAAAAAAGGAAGGAAGGGGAGGGTGGGGGAAGGGGGAAGGAAGGAATGATTGAAGGGGGAGGGGGGGGGAGGGAATGGCAAGGTGGAATTGGAGGGGATAGAGGAATGTAAGGAAGAAAAGGGAGGGAGGAATGGAGAAAGGAAGGCAGGAAGGAAGGAAGAATGGATGGATGGAGGAAGGAAATCAAGGGAGGGAAGGAAGGAAGGAGGGGAGGGAGGAAGGAGGAAGAAAGAAAAAAGAAGGGAGGAAATGAAGGAGGAAAGTAGAGGGGAGGGAGGAAGAACGAAAGGAAGGGAGAGGAGGGAGGGAAGGAAGGAAAGAAAGAAGGGAGGGGATCGAGGAAGGAGAGAAAAAAGGAGAGAGGGAATGGAAGGAGGAAGGAAGGAAATGGGTGGAGGAAGGAATGAGGGAAGGGAAGGAAGGAAGAAAAGGGAGGGAATGGATGAATAAAGGAAGGAAGGAAGGGAGGGAATGGATGGAGGAAGGAAGGAATGAGGGAAGGAAAGAAGGAAGGAAATGAAAGGAGGGGAGGGAGGAAATAATGAAGGGAGGGGAGAGAGAGAGAGATATGACGTGGTACATTCAGAAGCATCACAGAGCTGCAGCTGATCTGGATAGGGGAGGCAGAGCAGATCCCCTCTCCTCTGCCATGGAGGCTGGGGGGAGGGGCTGGACACTGTCAGAGAAGACAAGGCATGAGAGATCTGCGAGGGGGGGGGGACTGAGGAGCACAGAGGGAGGGGGCAGGAGGGAAATCCGATGCACAGTCTGGGATGATTGGTGCAGTGGAGGGACAGTGACAGCACCGATCTCTCTGCATGGATTTCAAGGAGGCAGCTGGAAGTCTCTCCCTCCAGCAGGGAGATTGATGCTGTCACTGTCCCTCCACTGCACCGATCACCTCCGACTTTGTTCCTGACACATATCATCCATGGGGGGGGGGGGGGGAGGGTGTGCGCAGGGTGTGTACGGTAAACACACTGCACCATGGATGATATGCCTCTCACCTTCCCACTTCCCACCGGCTCCATCACCAGCACGGACCCTTCACACGACTCATTCTGCCCCCATGTGAAGTTGTGAAGTAACAGGTGAGGTACTTCTGGGTCGGGATCTGAGACTGCCTCCTCCCCACACTGTCACTGGACAGTGATCCTCTCACGGGCCCTACTGACCCCGGGCCCTCGGGCAGTGGCCGCCCCTGACTGTGGGTATAGGATTATAACTTTTTTATGGTTGAAACTAGATGGACTTTTTTCAGCCAGAATAACTATGTACTGCTACAATGGTGGTGAGAGGTTCCCCTATATGCTAGGCTGGGTGACAGAGCGTGAGCTTTCATACTCACAGCTTTCTGCTTTCTTGGTTAGCTACTGCTAGAGGTTGATACCAGGTCAAATTCAGGCACTGCTTGCATTTAAGCTCCATGCACACTAACACTTATTTTTAAGCTCAAAAAATGCTGGTAATAGCATTTTAGTAGTAGCTTTTTAGTAGCGTTTAGGAACGTTAGCGTTTTATTAGCGGTTTTAAGGAAAAAAAGCTAGAAAAAAAGCTGTTAGCATTTTAGTAGCATTTGGCAGTATTTAGGAGCACTTAGTATTTTTTCTGCTGGAAAAACACTTAAAAAAACTCTACAAATACAATGTACTTTTTGCTCCTAGACGCTGAAGCTAAAAAAGATGCTAAAAGCCTAAAGTAGTGTGCATGAACACATAGGATAACACTATTTAGCTTCTAGGAGCAAGCAGAAAAAAAATGCTAATAACTTCTAGAAACATAAAAAAATGCAAGTTTGCATGGAGCCTAAAAGAATCAATGTATAATTAATTATTCTGTATTAAAGGAGAAGTAGGCCAAAACAGCTTTGGCCCTACTTCTAGGGATCATAGAAGTGCACTTTATTCTGCACTCTTGTGACCTATTTACAGCCGACAGCAAGCTAAAGCCCACTGTTGGCTGACATCAAACAGCCACCCCAGTCTCTGGAGAGATCCCGACTTTAATGTCAAGATCAACCCAGATGCCTGCACTGGCAGCTGGCTTATCCTTTCAGTGTGCCACTGAGAGCCTGAGCCAGCCACTTCCACCCCCTTTCCGGCCCAGTGCTCCAGTGAGTGCTGGAAGGGCAGAGCAGAGAGCCGACTCTGCTCAATGAAGTCTGAGAACTGAGCAATCAGCAGTCTTTGATTGCTCAGTTTTCAATGTAGAGACAGCATCAGATTGATGCTGCATCCACCTAGGAGAGTATGAATGTTGAGGGTTTTTTTTTTTAATTCCAAACTTCTCTTTTAAATTAATACAACACTGTATTCATTTGTGTCTTATATCTGCCAGGAGTTCAGATTAAATACAACCATTCCACTTGTAATTGCAGGGATTAAAGTTTGAAACCTATCTATAATAATATGTGATAAATGTTTTGTATTTGTATTTAGATTTTAGATGACGAGTGTTCTGGAGATGGATATTGTGAAAGGAAACCTGGATGACATTTCCAGACCTGCTTCAGTGTCTCGGTCCCGTCCTGAAAGCCGTATCTCAAGTTCACTGCATGCAGAGAAACCCAAAAATGTTTTCCACAGTAGGCTCTTTGGAAGTGTTAACTCCAGAACTGTGTCTTTCAGAGGTAAAATTATTTAAAGTATCTTGAATCACTGTCTACCTTCTGCTATGCAATTTTTGATCAAATGCTTATTGCATTGTTGAGGAAAAGAGAATCCTTTGACTAGATTCCTGTATTTATTTCAATATGTCCATAGTTTTGTTGGTGTCAAGAGAAGATCTAACATTAGTGGATGTTTGATTAAATGGCCCACAGTTGAACCATCTTATTAGTATATGTAAAATAAAAACCATGTTGATCATACCTACCAATCAGATTCAGATTGATTGTTTTGGCCACCTTCTTGGACAGCCATCACTAGCTCCTATTAGCATACATAGTTAGTCTGGCTGAAAAAAGATAAAAGTCCATCTAGTTCAACCAAAAATAAAAAAGTTATAATCTTATACCCACAGTTGCTCCAGAGGAAGGCAAAAAAACCCCAGCAAAGCATGATCCAATTTGTTCCTGCAGGGGAAAAAATTCCTTCCTGATCCCCCGAGAGGCAATCGAATATTCCCTGGATCAGCCTTACCTATAAATGTTAGTATCCAGTTATATTCCATGTATCTAGTAAAGAATCCAGGCCTTTTTTAAAGTAATCCACTGAGCTGGCCAGAAACCAACTCTTGAGGGAGTCCCCTTGTCCTCTGTGATGACCTCAGGGTGAATAACTACATCGAATTCACTATATGAACCACTGATGTATTTATACATTTTGATCATATTCCCCTTTAATCTCCTCCTAGAAATATTTAAAGTAAACCTGTCCTGGAAAAAAATGTGGTGCTGCCATTGCTTACCCCAGACACCCATTAACTCACAGACCCCTTATATCAGAGCCCTCCCCCTTATAGACCTCCATTAGATCAGTGAGACCCCCCCCCGTATCAGTACCTCTGCCCATAGATTCAGGACATGGGAGCTGCTGCAAGTTAGTAAGTGAAGTGGAGTTTAGGGGTGGAACAGGGATGTGGAGCTGCGGCTCTAAAGCTATTTTTGTTCTTGCGTTCTCCAGTGTGCACAGGGTGCAAAGGAGATCACTGAGGCTGGGGAGCCTACCTTGGGCTGTGCTCCCTGCATGGCTTGGCCAGTTCACTCTTGGCCATCGGACAGAGCTGGAGATCACGGTCAACTCCTTCGTGCACCGTCCTCACCATCTTCCCAGCCAGCCAATTGGAGAAGCCTTCATCTCCCAGCTCCCCACCCAATTAGGGGAGGGTCAAAAGGGGCATCCAGTGGAGAGGGGAGAGGCTGACAGGCTGGCCAATCATCGCTCCCCCACGTAAGGTAGGCATATAATACATGGCACATCAGAGAAGACAAGGTGAGGAGTTCAGTGGACGGCTGCCCTAGAAGGTTGCTTGTGCCTAGGGACAGTGGTGGATGGTGCTGGAACGTGATTTCTGGTCACTGTGGCGACCTGGCACCTTTGATTTGTCGAGCCCTGGCTTACCCTCTACAAATATCTAGCTGTTATGCTGACTCATTGACTTTAATACTTTCCAAGTCATTTATCCTTTTTTTTTTAATAGATTACAGTTTTTTGGGTTTTTTATTTAAGAAAATACATAAAAGTGATCATATACACTCACTGGCCTCTTTACTAGACCTGTTCAATTACTTTGTAACACAAATTGCTAATCAGCCAATCAAATGGCAGTAACTTAATGCATTCAGGAATCTAGATGTGGTGAAGACGACTTGCTGAAGTTCAAACCGAGCATCAGAATGGGGAAGAAAGGGGATTTGAACGTGGCATGGTTGTTGGTGCAAGGCGGGCTGGTCTGAGTATTTCAAAAACTGCTGATCTACTTGGATTTTCACGCACAACCATCTCTAGGGTTTACAGAGAATGGTCCGAAAAAGAGAAAATATCCAGTGATCGGCAGTTGTGTGGATGAAATGCCTTGTTGATATCAGAGGTCAGAAGAGAATGGGCAGACTGGTTCAAGATGATAAAAAGTCAACAGTAACTCAAATAACCTCTCATTACAACCAAGTTATGCAGAATACCATCTCTGAATGCACAACACTTTGAACCTTGAAGCAGATTGACTACAGCAGCAGAAGACCACCCCGGTTGCCACTCCTGACAGCTAAGAACAGTAAACTGAAGCTACAATTCGCACAGGCTCAACAAAATTGGACAATAAAAATTGGAAAAATTTTGCCTGGTCTGATGAGCCTCGATTTCAGCTGCAACATTTAGATGGTAGGGTCAAAATTTGGAGTAAACAACTTGAAAGCATAGATTCATCCTGTCTGGTATCGATTCAAGCTGGTGGTGTAATGGTGTGGGGGATATTTTCTTGGCACAGTTTGGGCCCCTTAGTACCAATGGAGCATTGTTTAAATGCCACGGCCAACCTGAGTATTGTTGCTGAACATGTCCATGCTTTTATGACTACAGTGTACCCATCTTGCACCATGTCACAGAGCACAAATCATCTCAAACTGGTTTCTTGAACATGACAATGAATTCACTGTATTCCAATGGCCTCCACAGAAACCAGATCTCAATCTGATAGAGCACATTTGGGATGTGGTGGAACGGGAGATTCGCATCATGGATGAGCAGCCGACAAATGTGCAGCAACTGAGTGATGCTATCTTGTCAATATGGACCAAAATCTCTGAATAATGTTTCCAACACCTTGTTGAATCTATGCCATGAAGAATAAAGGCAGTTCTGAAGGCAAAAGGGGGTCCAACCTGCTACTAACATGGTGTACCTAGTAAAGTGGCCGGTGAGTGTATATACTGTAGTTCAGAGTTCTAGCATATTGACCTCAGGTGAAACTCGAAAAATTAGAATATTGTGCAAAAATTCATTTATTTCAGTAATGCAACTTAAAAGGTGAAACTAATATATGAGATAGACTTATTACATGCAAAGCAAGATAGTTCAAGCCGTGATTTGTCATAATTGTGATGATTATGGCTTACAGCTCATGAAAACCCCAAATCCACAATCACAGAAAATTAGAATATTGTGAAAAGGTGCAATATTCTAGGCTCAAAGTGTCCCACTCTAATCAGCTAATTAAGCCATAACACCTGCAAAGGGTTCCTGAGCCTTTAAATGGTTTCTCAGTCTGGTTCAGCAGGAATCACAATCATGGGAAAGACTGCTGACCTGACAGTTGTACAGAAAACCATCATTGACACCCTCCATAAGGAGGGAAAGCCTCAAAAGGTAATTGCAAAAGAAGTTGGATGTTCCCAAAGTGCTGTATCAAAGAATACATTAATAGAAAGTTATTTGGAAGAGAAAAGTGTGGACGAAAAAGGTGCACAAGCAGCAGGGATGACCGCAGCCTGGAGAGAATTGTCAGGAAAAGGCCATTCAAAAGTGTTGGGGACTTTCACAAGGAGTGGACTGAGGCTGGAGTCAGTGCATCAAGAGCCACCACACACAGACGGATCCTGGACATGGGCTTCAAATGTCGTATTCCTCTTGTCAAGCCGCTCCTGAACAACAAACAACGTTAGAAGCGTCTTACCTGGGCTAAAGAAAAACAGACCTGGTCTGTTGCTCAGTGGTCCAAAGTCCTCTTTTCTGATGAGAGCAACTTTTGCATCTCGTTTGGAAACCAAGGACCCAGAGTATGGAGGTAGAATGGGAGGCACACACTGAAAGATGCTTGAAGTCCAGTGTGAAGCTTCCACAGTCTGTGTTGATTTGGGGAGCCATGTCATCTGCTGGTGTTGGTCCACTGTGCTTCATTAAGTCCAGGGTCAACGCAGCCGTCTACCAGGAGATTTTGGAGCACTTCATGCTTCCTTCCGCAGATGAGCTTTATGGGGATGCTGACTAATTTTCCAGCAGGACTTGGCACCTGCCCACACTGCCAAAAGCACCAAAACCTGGTTTAACGACCGTGAGATTACTGTGCTTGATTGGCCAGCAAACTCACCTGACCTGAACCCCATAGAGAATCTATGGGGCATTGCCAAGAGAAAGATGAGAGACATGAGACCGAACAATGCAGAAGAGCTGAAGGCCGCTATTGAAGCATCCTGGTCTTCCATAACAACTCAGCAGTGCCACAGGCTGATAGCTTCCATGCCACGCCACATTGAGGCAGTAATTGCTGCAAAAGGGGCCCAAACCAAGTACTGGGTACATATGCATGCTTATACTTTTCAGAGGTCCGATATTGTTCTATGTACAATCCTTGTTTTATTGATTGCATGTAATATTCTAATTTTCTGAGATTGTGGATTTGGGGTTTTCATGAGCTGTAAGCCATAATCATCACAATTATGACAAATCACGGCTTGAACTATCTCGCTTTGCATGTAATGAGTCTATCTCATATATTAGTTTCACCTTTTAAGTTGCATTACTGAAATAAATGAACTTTTGCACGATATTCTAATTTATCGAGTTTCCACTGCCTGACAATTAGCAGCAGCATTATTATGCGAGCCAAGCAAGCTGTATTTTTCTAGTTTGACTGCCTTTCTGAAAGATGCAATAAGCAGCCCAATGGTCCACCTCATGGAGCGCACATGGTAGGCTGACAATGCTTCTGCTGTTTGCAAGGCAGTAGATTTGTATTGTCAGTCTGCAGGAAGGAGTGCTATTACCCAAAAAAGGAAATTTTGGAATATATTCACAAAAATGTATACAGTGAGACACAATATCAAATATTAAAAAAACAGAATAAAAGAGACTTTACTAAATCTAAAAAGTATTAAAGTGTTATACCAATTTGGCTGCAAAAGCAGAAAAATAGTTTATCACCTACTGTGCTTTATATTTTGTTACGTTACAACTTTTTTGCTGGTTACTTGTTTTTTTTTTCTTTAACACTCACTGCATTTTAGACTATATGCACAATAGGAGCTGAAAAAAAGCTGGAAAAATGCTGTATAAGAACCGCTCAATATTTTTATAGTGTTTTTTTTACGGCAGTTTTCCCTTCTGTTTGCCAGCGTTTAGCAGTTTTAGCTGGTTGTTAAGGATCAGGCTGGCAAGGCAGCCACCATTTCCTTAACAACCAATGATTCATCAG